CAGTCCATCCATGCGTCCGTCCGTCCGTCTGTCAGTTCGTCCGTCTATTTAGTGAACACTCCAAGTACCACCATCTCGCATCTTTTAATCATACTACTCATCATATGCAAGTACCGCCATCCAGTGGACATTCTAAGGACTAAACGAGAGGTGACTACTATGACAACAAGGACACGGGGTGTACGACCCACAGCGTAAGGAGCGTCGCCCCTAAAAGAAGAAATAGGAGGCAGCATAGTCAGCTTTTCCACGGCGAACTTTTCTGACGCCGTCCTCGGCATCTACGACCACCAAACAACACCTTAGAACGCAACAAGCCATAAATTCGAGAAGCGACAACTACTTATCGCATAAAATTTAACTGCGACGCTCAGCTCACTGACACCACAATATGCCGCAAAAGGTTTAACCACCTTTGGGTCGATTAGCGACAAAGAGACAACGGCTTCCACACCGTTGCGGCGGTGGGGACCTTGGTGGTGGTTTAACGGACAAGTGCCAGAAAAGAGCGATGGCGCAGTGACCGGTGGCAGTGAGTGGGCCATTTTGACTCATCGCCAGCAACCTTATCACAGTCATCTGTAGATATCTGCTCGGCAAATTGATGATGGTACAAGCACTTCAGGCGCCGCGGCGTCGTGCAAGGCCGCTTGTGCACGATGCTTACGAAATTCGTCTTCGTTGTGTGAGACGAACACACTGCTCGCCGCACCCGAGCGCGATGCCGAATGAAGCATGCACGAAAAACGCACCAACACACGCATGCATTTTGTTGCAGACAACCCCGCATGCGACAGCGAGAGCCGAGTAAGCGACGCGCTGCACGCTAACTAGCCAGGAATGATTAGTTCCACGTGGATGTACCACGCTTCAGTGGAACGGCATGAGTTAATTGGGAACGTGGTACAATTCACTCACTCATGAACAAAACAACGGGCGTCATTTAACAAGCGGAACGGGCCTGGTGTTCAAAGGCCTAACTTGTCAGCAGAGAAGTTGTTAGCACTTTTCAATAAGAATATGCAGGAAAAAAAACGATTTGTTCGCTAAGTGCACGTTTTTATGGACGAGTTCATATATAACGAACTACTGATAAAGCGATCGCTTATCGCGGCACTTTCTCAAGTTCGTTATAAACGGGTTCGGCTCTACTTATATATATATAAGACTTATTATTTAATGTAAACTGACGAGCCGAGCATTCTTAAATGAAGTGAAGACTTTCTAAACGAATTTAAAAAAACAAGAGTTAGGGACCAGAATTCATTTGCAGGTACCTTGCCCCGGTAATTGGTGGTTCTTGGTACATGCTAGTTAGGTTTCACCACGGTGCATGTTTGCTAGCAGTTTAGTTTGCGTTCAGCAAAACCGGTGTTTAATTTCGCATCGGTGCGTTCGGATATTGTTAAAAGAGTAATTGGGATATCACACTAACACACAGTGTTGGAAAAAAAAAACGATTGCGCAAATAAGCTGCAACGTGATCGCTTCAAGAAGGCGGAGTATCCTGCATATCAATACTTCGGTTTGCAAAACGTCCATTCTCATTGCAAAATATACAAATGCGAATGTCTTTCATCCGCAAATAATGAAGAACTAGGAATAGTGCAAATATTCTATTCGTGCATAATAGTCACATGACCTGAAAAATGTAGGAAAGTGGTATGGGAATGAGTGTTGTGTTTCAGCACCAAACAAGTTTAGTCGCAATAGTTCCATGGTGCACAAATAATCGCAGAGGTCCCCTGTTGTCAAAGGAAAATGCGATCAGAGGCATGCTAATTCACTGGTCACTTGTTTTGTAGAGTTATTCACCGAATTACCCCTTCATGCATTCGCAAGCAAATTAGCCAGATGGGTCGATGGCCATACGGGTAGAGCATTGAAATTTACTGAATAGAGCCATTCCATCTGCCCCGCATTGTCACTCACACACATGCTAACCACCTTCAAACACACAGCAATTTCATACTATCACCTTAACCAGACCACACGAGGATATCTTATCATAAGAACACAGCACTTCGTACAAGTTAACTTTCGGTATCATCACTAGATAAGAAATTCAACTTTATTATTCACTCTGAAACGGTCCTTGGTTGTTTGAATATTCATGCCTCTTTATGACATGCAAGGTGCGCCTCCATTTTGTATATGATTTTTCTGACACGCAATGAACTTTCAGTTGTGAGCGATCGCTTGTGGTGTGTGTGTTTCTTTTCTTGTCCTGCTTTTATTTTTTTGCACTCTCAGTTTTAATCCAACCCACAGTTATTCTAGCCTGTAGCCAATGAAAATTGGTAGGTACCTAGACAACACAAAAAGTCCTAAGGATGCCCCAAACAAGTACCTAAGTCCCACATCCAATAAAGGAAGTCGTGTGAGTGTCCCAGTAGACTTTAGCCGACAGGACTGTCCATTAAATATCCCGGAATAGGAACGTGAATGGGTGGATGCATGCATCCACCCATTCATGTCCCTTTATGGGATGTTTAATGAAGATGGTATATATCATCTCGTGCGATTTCAATTAATCTACTTACTGATATTCTCACATGTATATGCACGTTTCTTCATGAATTAGTGTACATCTTCAGCGATCATTTTTTTTAACGCACGTGTAAATATATATAGAACTTTGGCAACCCTTCATAAATATACGCATATTAAATAAGCAGGTGAGAATACATAATGAAGCAGTGTTTTCAAGATTTGGAAAATAACAAGCAAACAGACCCACTGAACATGTTATAGGCCTACAGTCATGTGGAAAAGCAGGAGTGCATTGCATCGCTGGAAGAGTACGTTGAGGGGTATTAAAAACATGTAAAATAATGCAAGACTCAAAAAGACAGTTCTTTCTACTAGCTAGCATGCGTCCTTCCAATGCTGCATGTACTGGTAATTTCTGGATACAGTGGAATGTGCAACATCCAAATATAATCCTATTATGATCCCTTAGATGTCCTAAGTGCAGGATGTCCTAAGTATCTCGTTTTTGTCTCATTTTGGAGCCTTAATGAAGGTTTCTGAGAATTATTTGGGACATCTTTAAAGTTCCGACACATTCGAAGCAGCTCATCCTAGGGGAATCCAAAGAATGGCTCTGTGTTGTCTGGGTACTTATCGTTTGTTACCTATTGTGCGAGCGACGTGCAAGATGTCTACTGAATGTATCTTATTTTACTAAATGCCGACTTGCCAGCATCTCTTGTTGTTCAGCTAATTGAACTCGCCTCAAAATGAGCTAGCATCTATATTTTGCCATAATCTGTCGGTCAAGCTGACGCAGGACAAAGCCACTGCACGTCAACTTCTTAATGTGATAGATTTCGGTGGGACTTTCACACAATAGCACTTCTTGTGCAGCATGATTACCGTGGTAACCAAGGTCCCTCTTTGTGCTGCCACTGATTGGCTGACGATACCGGTTGCCAAGCACTTACGAAATGTTTACCAACAATCGGCCATCAGTGAATTTCAATTGGGCATGGCCTACAGTTGTGCCGCCACAATAGCTCGCGCATTATTATACCGCAAGAGCATGATTGTCCTCAGAGCAAAATGAAAAGAAAAAGGGAAAATGCAACACAAGCTGACATAGCCTGTTTCTCTGTGTCATACCTCTCTGTCTAGCTTGCAGTGTGTTTGCGGGTACGAAAAAGAACAGAAAACACTTGGAGCATGCAATAAATCCTTGTAACTACGCTCAGATCCAACTAAAAAATCCAACCAACTAAAAAATTTATAATTTCTCACGATACAGCTAACAATTAATTAGTGAGGCCAACTCCGACAGTGACACTATTCGATGATTACTTGGAAAAGTGTTGCCAGTGTCGGCCCTTTAATCTAAAAAAATCGCAGTTTTACCACAAATCTAAAGCAGTTGATGCGATAGAAACAAATTGTATGGTTACTATACGCATACGACTGGCAGCTACCTTTTTAGTCGCCGTCTCACAAAATGCTGGTGTCAGAGAATATGGCCCCTTCAAGGAAAGATGCAGGTTTCGCAGTCTCTTCGCGTGGGAAGCGCAGCAAGTAGAAGGGTATACATAGCGTACATCGATGCGTGCGCCCCTCTTAAAGTGTTGCCTTTCTTTCAAGTGTTGTCTGATATCGTTGCGCCACCATTTTTTGCCCCCCGTCCCGCACCTTTCAGTGGAGCCGCCATAGAGTGGTACTAAGACAAGTACCCCGACAAAAATATGGCAGCCGCGCTACAGTAAATGCCGCAGATGTCCCCATCTTCCAGCGGAAGAAATATGCATCAAAGCATCCTAGATATACGAGCTGCATGCTGATGCCTGCCGAAACAGCACACGCATCAGCGCTCGCGACCACATCCCATAGAACCAAAGTTCACAGTCGCTGCTCGAGCTACAGCCCTTCCCCGCCTTTTGCGTCCCTCCGTGCTCGTGAACGCACGAGGCGTTCCCTCTATGCACGAGCAGCATTCGACAGTCCGCTTAACACGTATACTGATATGTTTTCGCCTACGCCCTCCGAAGGGACAGAGTTTGGCCGGATCGTTTGACCTATGCTTCAGCCACCTTCGTTGTGCCCGCTCGTGCACTTTTAACCGCGGCTAAGCATTACCGTCTGTCTTTCAACCTGTCTGTCTGTCACATAATTCAGCCACCCGGCAAAACTCTTAGGCCTTTTGCGGAGGGAGGTTTTCGAACATGACGGCAAGGACGACAACAAAAACTCCTCGAGGGGATCCATAATTGCTATAGTAACAAAAGTGCAGTCTGTTCCTGTCTACCTCGTTGGTTGTTAAACCAAACTAACGTCCGAATGAGGGCTTCCCCACCCCGCAGTCAACTACCCTACTTCAGGCTGAAGTTAGCTTAGATTGTGCGAAAAAAAAAATGGATTCGTGATTCGCGCAGGTGCGCAAACCGAGGATGCTGCATACTCATCCATGGCTTATATACATCCGGCATCTAGAAGACTATATAAGCGCGAGATAACACGTACGAATGGCAGCTCACCTTCTTTGGACTTCCCGGTAGGCAAATGCAAGCAGGTCGGCGAGTCCCCCGCTTCCCTCGAACACCACGACGGGCAGCTGTCGCTTGAGATGCTCGAGCACAAGCCGCGCGCAGCCGTCGCCTCCGGACACGAGCAGCGCAATGAGCGGTAGCTCGGCCACACCACCTTCCTTGTCGCCTCCGCCAGTGGAAGCCGCCGCTGGTGCTGTTTACGTATATGTCAATTGGTTCAAGATGCCTCTCGAGTATCTTCAAGTCGTAACTTATTAGCTCAAGAATCTCAGTAACCAATTACAGGAACACAAAGTGTGCCCCAGCCTGCGGTCACAGTATTTCTAAGGCCTCGAGGGACAGGCTGTGCCGCGTGTCGATATGGCTTCAAAAATACACTGTTTTGTGGATTGTCCGCTTCTTGTGCACGCAAAGCAAAAGATTATAAGGCTGACAGAGATGACAGTGGACGTTGAAACGGGCTGTCCAGTTAATTAAAAAAAAAAAAGAAACTAGATACGATATTTGTAGAATACTTTGGTCTGGAAACATTGGCATACTGAAGACCACCACACATGGGGCTTTTCCAACGGTTGCTGTAATCTTGCTCATCAGTCCTCCGAAATTCTTGCCGCTTAATTCTTGGCGCACCCTAAGTCCGTAATTCCAATAGCGCTGTCACCTACCTTTCAGTTCAAGATTTTTGGAAGACATCATACGGCAACATTCAATGCGCAGATGCGCAGCCCTGCAAGCGAAACTCACCCTGGTCGGAGAGGTTTATGAGCCTCTGCTCGAGTCGCAGCACAAAATGGTTGAGCCCCGTGCGGTTGACCGTCTCGTCCCGCACAAGCACGTAGTTTGAGTGGTCCGGGTTCAGCTCAAACTTGCCCTCGTCAGGCCGGTTACCCTCGTTCTCGATCTGGACGTCTGTCTGCTGCAAGGGTGCCAGATCCATCCTGTCATTGCGCTTGACCGCCAGCGAGAAATTGTTTGTTCAAAGTCAGCTTCGATGGCTATGTATGCACCATTTTTTTAAACTTGGGTCAATTGCCACGCAGCACAATGTTCTGATTTAGATACATACATATATCCACGTAGATCAGTTTTCAGGCAGGGAGTGCATAAGTGACTTATAAATAGTGTAGTTTATTAGACATAGTTCGTAATGATTAGAATAATCACTTCTCAAGCTCACACTCCCACGTAATGTTCCATGAGCTCTCATTGCCCAAGGAAACATCCAAATTAGGTGCGGGCTCATCACTATAGTTCATGTTACAGAAAAAACGAGCGAAGGTTGCTCGATTCATGGCCAATTTCATCATTCATCTGCATCAAATTCGTATGCGCATAGTTTTTACATGATGACCCAGTATGCTTAAAGGCAAGTTTTGAAACTTAAATAAGAAATATATATTTGTTGAGAAATCGCTTTCTTGAGAAAGTGACACACATGATGCCACAACGTGTGATGCCCTTGTTCAAAGCATGTTATTATACTTGTTTATTCACATATTCCACTCTGTTCAAGGTTAACAACTTAACTGAACACTCCCATAGTTGCTTACACATATAATTTATATTCGTAACCTTTCAACTAACTTATAACCACTTGGAAAAAACTTGGACAAGGGGCCTTATATTAAACTGAAAGGTAAACCTAACACGAGGCAAAGGATTAGTCAAAATCATGAATCTTTCCCATATGTCGGCAAATGCCCAAAAGCGCACCCTTCCGTCGAGCAGGTCGGCGTTGACGAGCATGTCCTCCCGTACGATGCCCAGCAGCCGCAGGGGAGGCAGGGTGGCGCGGGTGCGGTTCGGGTGCTTGTGGCAGCGCAGTGCCTGGCGTCGGCGCAGCTCGTGGCTCACGGCGTCGCCGACCAGCTTGGCGAGGCCCGTGTTGAAGCCGTTGGTGAGGAGCCACATGGGCGTGGCGTTGGCGGCGCGCAGCAGGCCTCGCCGGAAGCCCTCGAGCCGCCTCGCGTCCGCCCAGTCGCCCAGCGGTCCCACGTGCGAGATGAGCACCAGGGCGATGCGCGGCGCCGAGAACAGCCACTCCTGGACTAGCACGCCGCACACTTGGTCCGGGTCGATGTCAGTGCCGGACGCGGATGTACGGACGAGACTGCGTTCGTTCCATTTGAAAAGGCACAGTTTGTAAAACCACAAGTCGATTAAAATGGATATATTGTATTCTGATAATTATATTCTCGTTAATTCCCCAGTCATATTCATACAGGAGAGAATGAACGTCGGAGTTTCATTTCGAAGTTTCGCACCCAAATCTCTGCGCGTGACGTCTCGGATTTCAAAGTGCATTTTTCGTATTGCGGAGACATTGGCTGAAAGAAATTTCCCGAAACCAGGTATGTCAACTATCTGGCCTCCTAGTGAGACATTTCACTTCATTTTTTGCCAATCAGGAACTATGCATGCTCAAGCAGGTGACATCAAAATTTACGTCACGGAAATTTGTGCGGGGATACCGAAGAAGAGTACAGCCACCGGCATATTTCCTTTAGCGCGTTTTGTTTTTCACCGACAAAGCTACCGCGGGACCAACAAGCAACGAATGAGCTTTTTGCAGCGACAGCTTGATGATTCGACCACTTCATATTAAGAAGTTTTTATCCACCGATTATAATAAAGTAGTGGGTGTCTTAGCCATTTCCTTCAGTAATTTCTTCTAATTCACCATAACACATTACACACTTTGGAAAGCAGACAACCGGATGTTCTCTTTTCCTTCGTCTACCCCTCGCTATATCTGTAAATATTGGTAATTAAGGCCTTCTGATATATTCAAACGTTACTGCATACGAACCAAACTTTATAGCAGAACTATATACTAAACTATTAACGTGCTGCGTAGGCAGAAAGACAAAACCAGAACACAAAACGAATCAGCGTTTTACTGCCTTACGGTTCTTTCTTTCTGCTTGCAGAGCACGTCATACCAACGCCCACACAAATGATGCCGTTACTCAAAGCCCTGCTGAGGTTTCGGGACAGCGCGTGAAAGGTGAACATACATCCGCCATATAGATCAGTAAAATGCATTTGAGGGATTTCTGAAGAAAAATCAGGAAATGACAGAAAACAAAATAGCATGGGAAGCATATATACTAAACGTTGAAGTGTAAAAAGCTAAGCTGTTAATTAATTTAAAACCATTTTTTCTCCTTTTAGAGAAACATATTGAATTCATGTATATGCACGTGCATTCGGGCGAATGAGAAACTTAGCTTAACAGGTCACCGCCCCGTCATAAAGGGCATGTCCATAGCGTCCATCCATCTATTTTTGAAGGTTGACAGCTGAGGATAACTTATTTCATTCGAAATGATATCCGCGTAGGGGCATGCACTCGACCGATCTCCCCAAATGCTTCAAAAGTTTAGGCCACCCTAATCGGATGGTGTACCAATGTTCAAAAGGTGTTTAGTGCAACCAGAAAGCAAGGCGATCCCGAACTTATCGCTAAGCACCTCTATGTTCCGCTATGGCTGCATGCGATTCTGTGACAATTGACGCCCACACGAGTATAAGTTTATAAATACCTGTTTATAGAGGCTCTTTATCCACCATTGTCACGCGAAAAGGTGAACTCGCGAGTGCCGCATGTTGGCATAATCATGCTCACGCGCAACAATAAGTGAGACGACCCATGCGGCTGTTCCGCGACACCAAGCGTATTAGTAATTTAGTGTCATTCAGTTGCTTCCAATCAAGTGCGAAAAGCGAATCTACTGCTTAAGTATACAACACTATTTTTATAATTTGCAACAAATCTGTTTTATGCGCCCTTTTCACGGAAGGTGACATTGCTACGGATATTAAGTGAAGGAACACGAATGTCACAAGGAGCTGGCAGGCGCGCCAGTGTGTTACTTAGCCAGATTGACTTTTGCCTGTGTTTTTATCAGTAAATGCATCTTGTAAATAAGCCACCCGCCCCACAACATAATGGTGGAGGTGCTGGGTACATTTAGCAGGCAACGGAGCTCCGCAGCGAAGGTCACATCACTTTACCAGGCATGGTTATAACGTTGAGTCCTCCGCATCAACGTCGCCGTCTCCACCAAACCCGCCATTGCCACCATACATTTCGTGCCGCTAAAGTATCTCAGTACATTCTGCAGAACCGATGGCGTCGACGTTGAAGATTGGTTGGCCGTGTTTGAACGCGTGTGTACTGAACAGATCGGATCCCACACTTCAGTTGGCTAATGTGTTGTTTTACCTGAGGGGCAAGGCCACAGTGTGGCAAAAACACAACTACAAGGAACTCACTGGCTGGGATGAATGCCAAGAAAAGGTGCGAGAGTTATTTTATAAACCCGCCAGTCGTACGAACACCGCCAAAAAGGAACTACCCAGTGGTGTCCGATCTTTTACGGAATCATACCTTTCATACATTGAGGACGTGCTGGCCCACTACCACAAGGTCGACTGTGACATGACGGAAGGTGACAAGGTTGGGCATGTGCTGAAGGGGGTCGCCGACGACGCATCCAATCTCCTTATGTGCAAGGGTTATCCCATTGTGGATGCGATCGTCAAGGAGTGTCGTCACTTCGAGAAAGCGAGAAGTCGCCGCATTTTGTAACCGTTCGCTAGACTTCCAAACACCTCTGCAACTTCGACTTGCGAAGACCAGTCCGCTCCACAACATCCATCGCCGCGGAAAGACCTGACACGAATTTTTCGTCGTGCACTGGAAGCAATGGCACCCTCAGCATTATACTCACGCAGCACCGATTACACCCTTGCTACCGTTCTTCTCATAGCCACCGTTCCCTAGGAGCTTGAAAACATCTTAGTGCATTCCGTAAGCTGCGTGACCATGCCCAGAGTCAGCGAACGCCCTTTCGCTATGTCCTCCTCGAACCGACGGTGTTCTCCGCGTTCTCGCCATCCGGCTGAGTGGGGAACTGCAGATGACCGCCCTATATGTTTCAAATGCCACCACGTTGGATTTATTTCTCGTTACTGCCAGAACACTTGGCCCTCAGCACTTCTCTTCGCCCAACAAACAATATATGACCCGTTTATACGGTATACCACCCGCATCTTTTCACCTTGCCCCCCCGAGTACAGCGCCGTTAACAATTCTACTCAGACCACATGATACGGCCGCTCGCCTTCGCCACGTGAACACCAATCTCGTTTCCCGAAGACCCGTGCACCCATCGCCAATTCACCCCAGCCACGACGCCTATCGTCCACTGTGGCTTCCGGCCACACCATTTCGGAAAGCCAAGAAATGCAGCCCTCAGAGGTGGTGCTGAATTGACGACTACTGCAGCAAATCTTCCCCTTTCCCACCAGACAAAGCGTTACAGACGTTGAAGTAGGCGGCGTACTTGTCTAAGCACTTGTCGATACTGGCGCAAGCATATCGGTTATAAGTGCAAGATATACGCCCACGTTTAAACAAAGTCCTGACACCAGCAGCTACACAAATGCTCTGTGTGGCCGATGGCGGCACACCGATGGTTCTTAATTGGTGTGTGTACTGCTCGCCGAAGTGTAGTCGACCACATTACTTCAGTCCTATTCGCCGCGATAGACAACTGCCCTTATGACGTTATTCTATAGGTATTCACTTTTTGTCAAATCATTGTGCTCTCACCGATTGTGCTACCGGCGTCTTTCAGCGAGAGCTGCCTCGATAGTCGCATGCTCCCGACACTACACCACCACGCCTATGCTCTCGCCAAAGATGTGCGTCTGTCACCTCAGGCAGCCACCTACGTTATTTTGACCGCACAGCCACGGGTTCCCGATGGTGGATATGCCCTCCTTCCCTTCGTCGACATCCTTTTGAACCACAAAGTTGCCGTTTCACAAACGTTTGCGACCGTCACCGACAACCGTGCCTATCTCCAACTTCCAAATTTCAGCTTGCGCCCTCAAGTGATTTTCCGTAGCACGTTCTTGGCCAGCATATTCAATGCTGACGACTGTGAAATTGCATCTCTCACCACCGGGACTGATTTGTTCCAGCCTCCTGCAGCTAACAGGACCTGTTCTCCGCCAGATGATTTATAGGAAACGATTACAGTCGACCTTAACTCTGCACAGGCCGATGACATCTGTCGCCTTCTCGCGTCATACACCGCCATTTTTTTCACGGCTGACCTCTAGGGCAAACATTCACCGTTCATCACCGCATAAACACTGTTGACGCCAGTCCTATTCGCCGGCGCCCCAATCATGTCTCCCACACGGAGTGCAGAGTTATCCAAAACGAAGTCGACGAAATCTTCAGCAAAAAGTGTCATCGAACCTCCAAGTAGCCCTGTCATTCTTGTGAAGAAAAAGGACGGTAGCTGGCGCTTCTGTGTTGACGACTTTTAATTTAAAACTATACCCAGCTCTTGGCCAATCCCCCAGCGTGGGTGTATGCCACTGTTTCTACACTGCTCTGTACTACTGCGTTGACTATCCCCCCTTAAACAAGATCACGCGAAAGGACATCGATGACGTATTGGACTGCCTGCACGAGGCTACATACTTCACGTCTATTGATAATCGGTCGATGAAATGGACCGCGAAAAGACGGCTTTCATAACAATTGACGGTTTATACCAGTTTAAGGTCATGCCCTTTGGCCTATGCAACACTCCTGTGACAATCAAACAAATGATGGACTCTCTTCTGTAGCAGTCACAAGTGGTTTACTTGTCTTTGTTACTTTGACGACGTGATGGACTTTTCTTCCCCCTTCGACAGCCACCTGATGCGCCTCGCTGCAATTCTTGCAGTCTTCAGAAAAGCCGGGCTTCAACTGAATTTTAAGAAATGCCAACTTGGCCACCTTACCGTGATTACCGTGCTGGGCCATCTTGTAAACGCTAACGGCGTCCAACCTGGTCCGAAAAGATCCTCGCCGTCCGCAGCTTTCCCCACTCTAGTTCTGAAGTTCGGAGCTTCATCGACCTATGCTTTAATTTTCATCGCTTCGTGAAAAACTTCGCCGACATTGCTAGGCCACTCAAAGACCTGCTGAAAATTCATACCGCATTGTCATAGAGCCCCGAGCAGGATCAGGCGTTCACCGCTCTCATCACTCCCGCTACCTCACTACGCCTCCACACTTGCTCAGTTCAATACATCTGC